CCTATGCTAAAAGCTATGTGCCGAAGTGTGTATTGTGTTTTCATCGTTTTCAAATTTGATTCTATACTTTTAGAATTTTTAAAAAAATCATACAGTCTGCCCTTTCTCTGTACTTTTCTTCACTGAATATCAGAATATCATGTCACATTCCTTAAGGATTTTAAGTTAGAATGTGACATATCCCTGCATCGCTCTGCCCCCACGGGCTCAGTGCACGGTAGGCGTACCTCTATCACGTTATAACGAATGGACATGGTATTCTATATAACGTGACATAATTCATATTAAATAGAATGTGACGTCATAGTATCTGAATAACAGTGTTACCGTGAACCAAATGACGGTTTACTATGTAGGCATTATTTATCTCAAATAATTTTAGATTTCTTTCCTAACTGACTTTTACAATTGTTTTCAATGTTTTACCCCCCAAATAAAGTGACAATTTTGTTCCTTAAAAAGGAACGTTTTTGTGCTAGACCAGATGCAATTAAGCTCCTAAAACTGGACAAATTTTGTAAAGTTCTACTCAACTTGGCAAGTTTTAGGAATGAAATTGCATCTGGTCTGGATGTGCACGAAAAATTTCCCCTTTTAGTGTCATTTTACATTTAGACAGAATGGATTTTCTTTTTGCAGTTGCCGCACCGGTGTGCTGTTCATCCGAGCATGCTGAAGCCGATCGACGCCGTGAGGCTCAAGAGGAGGTAGCAGCAGCAGCGAGACGGGCCATGCCGCCATGCCATCCCTGTCGTGATCCTCTTAGCGCAGCGTCGGCGAGCGCTCCCTTGAGCTGCCCACGCACTACCGGAGCGGCTCCAGCGAGCACTCACACCACAGTGATGGTAATGATGCCTCCATACTCTCCCTAAGCAAACCATCACAAGTCTACCTGCACTGCTGCAAAATGCTTGCAGAGAATAAAGTTCGTATTGCAATCAAATGTCTTTCAAACTTGCAAAGTGTTTTTTTTGCAGTATGAACAAATTGTTTGGAACGATGTAGATTTTCTTCGTTATACAATCCTTTGCACTACTATCGTCATAACTTCTTCGCGAGGTTGCAAATAATGTAGTTTGCAATCATTATACAGTGGTGGCGTGTCGTTACAACAGGGGGGAAAAGCCATCTCGTTAAGTCGTGCAAGTGGAAGTTAGCAAAAGCCAGCATCTAGCCTAAAATAGTCCATCCCACGTATTTTACTCACCCAGAAAAACGTGCCTCTGATTTCACGGAAATTCCGTTGAATGAGGACGAAGGGAATTTTGACTATAAATTAAGAGAATTTGCATTTAAAATAAGGAATTTTGACTTAAATCAAATACAATTTTACGTTGATTGAGAGCAAAGTCCACAAATTCATAATAAAAATTCCCTTTGTCCGCATACAATGGAAATTTCCGGGAAATCAAAGATACGTTTTTCTGGGTGTGGTCCAACTTCGCTGCTGCTTCGCTGTCCGTGTTTGATAGGTTTCTTTCGACTTCTTCCCTGGTTTTTCTCTGCCTCACCCTACTATGGCCCTGTTCGCTAAATTTGCTGACATGAGCTGCGTCCTCACCCTCACCTCTGTGCTGCAGCTCGACTGACGTCACGCGCCCCCTTGTGTCCCACTACTTTTCGGCAAGTTTCCCTCGATCCGGTCTTTATAAATAATTAAGGCGTACATCGTGGGAGGGTCTCTCCCCTCTCTTCTTCTTCGACCCCCACTCTTCGCCTCCCCCCGTCTGAACTCTCTCCCACCACCCACACCCGGACTTGCTCGGACACCATCGCGAGAAAATCTAGACGGCGGGAAAGAGGCCCGCCTATGTATACACCCTAATTAAGGGCCTTAATGACTTATTTGCTCAGAAACAAATTCAGAGACGATTCTCTTCTGAAGAAGCAGCTCGGCGGCCCCGAAGTGTTGGTTGGTCCAACACTGTCTCTGCCCATTCGTCTCACGTCCCCTAAATTCGAGACATTGTCAGCGGACCATAATTCTTAAAAGTATTACTGGTTCGCATGGTAGCCCGATTGAATTTTGGTGGGTTGCGTCTGCCACAGCTTTGAGTTGGTGTACATGTGTGAGTGTGTGTTGACGGAGGGCAGGGTCACTGTTATCTGGCCTAAGCAGCCGGGCTGCCGGGCTCGTGAGGCTCGATCCCGGCCGCTGCAGCTTCACCCGCCCCGGACCATGGACCAGTCCGAAGCCGACAGGCCGAGCCCCTGCCCCGAGGCTTTGTTTTCTGTGACGGCATACTTGTGTCCGACTGATGCACGACAAGTAAGAGTCCCCGGACCAGGCAGGCAGGGGCGCGTCACGGTACGAGGTCACCATATCATCGACCGCGTTATACGATTAATGGTTATCGAGACGACTTTTCTTGTTTTGGTTTCGATTTGTCAATTACTCCCTTCTTTGAGCTCGTTGCTCACGGCAACCATACTTACTTCTCGCGGTCAAGTAGGACTTAGTCGGGCGAGGCAAAGGCGAGGGCCTATAGCGTACGTTATATGGACTCATACACGCTCACGTGGCTCATTTGTCATTCAAGGACGCGACTCACACCGAGGAGAAAGTGTTGTACAGCCCGCCCCGTCGCAGCGATAACCTTCTTACCTGACGCCCCAGCCAGCTCGAGCCAACTCCTGACGGACTATGGCGTTCGTTGAGGTTAGGTTAGATTTTCTCTGTTCGGGGCGGGTGGTGTAGAGGGTGGAGGAAAGTGAAGGAGTATTTTGAATAGGTCTAAATGATGTGAGGGCCATAGGAATATTGGGAGTGAACGAGAGTATTTTTCTTACCCGACCAAACTACTTCCAATAAATCGAAGACATGCAATTTCCCATCTCTCGCGTGCGGTGCGTCCCAGGGGAAATATGACACTCCTCTACTCCCCGGGTCCAGATCGGGAAGCTGTAGGGGACGAGCCCGAGGCCCCGGGCCGCCCCGGGCCCTGGGAGCACGCAGTGCTCCAGTGACCCTTCTGCACGCCGTGGCCCAGGCAGGGGCCCAGCGCGCGGCGGGCGGAAGGGAGGGGGTGGGAGCTAGGACCCGCGAGGGGGCGGGGTGGGCCAGCAAGGGCAGGGTGGGCATGGCGGGACAAAGAGCGGCACTGGAGCGGTCCTCGAGGCGCTCTGGACCCGTCCTGGACCCGTCCGGGACTCGTCCCGGAGGAGGCCACGCTGGCCTGGCCTTACGTAACCACTCACTCTGGCTCTGCTCGGCTCCTGGGCGCTGGCGCGGCTGGCGCTGGCTAGCTCGCCTCGCTCGGCGCGCGCGCGCGGACGGGGTCCCGCAGCTCTCGCAGCAGCCTTGGTCGCTCCTCCTCAGCTCCGTCTCCGTCCCGGACTCTGTGCGAGGCGCGCCATCGTGTCACCGTTAGCAGCTGCTGCGCGACGCGTGCCTCCCGTGCGTGCGGGCCGTGCGTGCGGGCCGTGCGTGCGGGCCGTGCGGCTGACGGGGCCTGGAGGCGGGGCCTAGAGGCGGGGCCGTGCGCTGCTCATCTGCCGAGCCCAAGCCCCATGACAGAACTAGCGCCGCTTGGCTCCGCTCCGCTCAGCTCCGGCCCCTCCGGCCCGCCGCGGCCCGCGCCCAGCCCGGCCAGCTCATGGGAGAGGGGGGATGGCGGCAGGGCCGGGGCGGGGGCGGCAGCCAGCGCGCGGGCGCCATGGAGGGGGCAGCCATGAGCGCCCGTCCGCCGCCGCCTCCCGCCTCCACCGCCTTGTCGCAATGGAACGCGCCGAACGGTCTCCTTACTTCCTCTTTGCGTCGTCGGTGCCGATCGATACCGGTTCTAGTCGAGGGGGGCGGTGCGGCGGGGCCCGCGGCCCGGCGGCGCCAAAGGTTCAAACGGCGGCGCTCGCTCGGCCCGGCCGTGCCCCGTGTCCCTCGCGGGGAGTAGCGTCGCCGCGCGGCGCGGACGGGCCTAGCGGTGCAGAGTAGCGCCGCGTCGAGGGGAGGTCGTGGGCGCCAGTCGCGGTGGGCAACGGACTCGAGTTTAAAGAGACGTGAATAAGACTACAAAGCATCCCCCCCTCCCCCCACTCCGCATCCCCTCTCTCACCAGCTCGCCCCTTCCCTAAGGTCGCACTCCTCTTACCTCGACCTTTCGGGCCGCCGCTGCTACAGCTTTCGCTCTTGTTCTCATATCACTTATATTTTGAAAACAGAGACAAAGAGGAGACTATTGTTCCTTGGCCGCTCGGTAAACCATCAAGCTGGTTCACAAGATTTGTCTAAAAATTTGTCATTTTGAAAGTCGTGAGTTTTTAAAGAAAACTCTACACATTACAGGCTGGTCACAATCATTCCGACCCGGGCAGAGTGACACAATGTAGTATACTTAACGACTGCACATTTCTAAAGGGCACTCTGTCCTCATCTTCCGGAAAAAGAAAATCAAGCAGATTCGCGTAAAAATATCGCATGCGTGCGCCATTGTTTCAGTGTTGCGGGGGCGGCTGGGGTCCCGACGAGGCGTGGCGGCACAGACTCCCCCCGCCCATCCCCCAGCAGTACAGCCGGGGCGAGTACAGGCGCCACGGTTCTTTTCGCGTGCCTGTTGTGTAACCTAAACCCGCCCCCGTGCGCTGCCTCCTTCCCCTATCCCCGGTCCCGACCAGCCGCGGCCCCCGCGGCCCCCGCGAGCGTCGGGATGCTGCCCTCGGCGGACCGGTACTCGGCCGCACTCGGCTCAGCTCGGCCTCAGAACGCCCTCTCCTCCCCTCCCCCCACCCCTGGGGTGGCAGGGGGCAGTCCTGAAGGGGGCCGGGGAGGGGACGTGGGCCCTCCGACCGGTGTGAGGCGCGACGCACGCCCCCCAAAAAATAACCCCGCCGGCACTGCCAACCTGACGGCGACGTGCGCGCGCGTGTTCGCGTGCGCTCGCGTGCCCCCGCGCTTAGCAGTTGGCAGCACATTGTGCAAGCTGAGGTGGCCGGGGGCGCTGCGCGGGG